ATGTCTGGAAAAATAAAAGAACAAGAAAAAACTAGAACTCACAAAGAGATCTAGCTTCTCCTACGAACTCACTAAGAGATCGTGGAGGTTTGCACTCACAAAGAGAACATGAAATGTCATTCTTTTCATTCATCAAAACTACTATTACATGAGAAAAGGGTTATATATATAAGCCTCAAATGACAAAGAAAACAAAAGACTAAAATACCCCTTGGGCTACAATAACGACTAAATACCCATGAGGGCAAAAGCGGAAAAACATAAAAATAAAATAAACTACTACATAAAATGACAAAAAATACAGCTCATGATCGTGGACGTCGATCTCCGACGTCTCATAATGGTACATGTGTTGAAGTTGTTGACGATGTCCTCATCACAGGCTCTCTATGGTAATATTTAAGTATCACCTTGCAGCTGTGCTATGGTCAGAGAATTTGGGAGGGAACGTGGAAGAACCTAAAATGATGGCTGTTAACACAATCACAACAATTGACCTAAAGAAAAAAGAAAGGGATGGAACCTATGCTTGTTGTCGATTGAGGATGTTGAGGCGATGAAAATGTTTCCAGGTATGTTGCAAACCTTAACAGTAACCTCTCTGCTCTTCTCAGCCACTAGGTAGAAGCAATGAAATACTGTAGTTGTTGCCGCTGAGGTGTGCAACTTGGAAGGAGTAGAGAAGCAGATTCTCGCTCACGGATGTGGAAGCCAGGTGCCAAGAAGAATTGTGCGGCTCTCTTTGATTGAAGAGACGTGTTAGGATTTATTTGATTGAAGAGATGTGGTAGTGATGTGAAACAATGTGGTGAAACAAGAATTGCTTGCATGAAATTAATAAATTGTGAACTTGGCATAGTTAAACATAAACGAAGCATATTCAAGATAGATCTTTAGAAAATTCTACGGAAGAACTAATTAACGACAATTGATTACAATTAAGAGCAATAGGAGACTAGCAAAATTACATCAACAACAAATAAGTAGAGCAAATGGCACGTTAACAAAATCCATGGTTTAAAATCTAGATCATTCACCTTGGAATCCCTCACATACACTCTTGATATCACTCTGCTTAGCGGATGAAGGTTGCAAGCAAACTTATGGATGCCACTAGAAGACACGTGATGCCGAGGGGACTAGTCGCCGGGGAAGGAGCCGGAATTGGAGGAGCGGGTGGCCCAGTGGAGGATTCATTTGACGTATCTTTCCACCGTTTCGTCGTATGCCCAATTGGGTTCGTAGAAATTAGAGAGGAGAATATCGATCTCTCCTTGGGCGCTGTAAGCAAAGCCGTGATCAAGCTCCGGATCGGCCATGCATGACCATGGAAGGATCTTGGCGTCGTGGTGGTGTAAGATGGATGAACCGTCACCTAGGAGAGGTGCGACCAAGAGGGTGAAGAGAGAGGGGAGAGGAGAGCTTAGGTTGGAGGTGGTGGGGAGAGGGGAAAGAAGGGGCGGCTTGGTTGTGGTGGGATTAAGGGAGGAGTAATAGAAAATCTGAAATTAATTCTCAGATTTAGTGAAATTGGAGGGAAGGATTTGAATTTGAATTCAAATTCAAATAAAATGATTAATTGGAGGTGAGGAATTATGGGAGGTAAATAGAAAGTCTTGATTGAGGGCAATTAATAAAAATTGGAGAGAGTGGGTGACATTAAAGGGGGCCGGCCATATAGAGGGAGGAGGGAGGGGATTTGTGTTAATTAGGTGGGCCCTGAGGTTTGAATAACTAATTCAATTCAAATCTGAATTTAATTTCAGATTTGAATTAAATATGAGGTTTCCTATCTTGGAATTTGGCTTTAGGAAAGAATTTAAATTCAATAATTAATTGAATACAATTTGAGATATTTCTTAAAGGATTAGGAATTAAATTAGGAAAGGTTTTGAAATAATTTGAATTTGGGGAATTCAAATTGGATGGCAAGGTGGGCCGGCGGTGGGTGGGTGGTCGGACATGTGGCGGTGGTGGACGATGGACGGTGGATGGCGGACGACGGCCGGCGGGTAGGGGAGGTGGCTGGCGGCTTGCTGGGCGAGCTGACCAGCGGTTTGGGCGGCCAAGGGGGCCTGCAGGTTTGGGAGATTTGGGGGAAGTGGGGGGCTCGGTTTGGGGAAGGGGATGGTGGAGGGTGTAGGGGAAAGAATAAAGGAGAAAGGATGAGCCGCGAATCTCGGAATCCACCAAAGGTTGGCGGGTATTGCTTGTTCCCTCGCCTAGGGTCTCCCCTCTCAAGAACTCACAAAGAGATCTAAAACAAAGAGCTGAATTTTCATTTCACTAATCATCTCCCATTACAATGCAATAGGCCTCCTATAAATAGGCCAAAATGAAAGAAAACTAGAAAGACACAAATGCCATCGGGGCTACAATAGTGACTCAATACCCACAGGGGTAAACTAGGAAAAATAGAAAAATGCAAGAGCAAATAAAATACAAGATATATCAAAAGTAAAGACTCTGGATTACTTTTTTTTTCGGATTTCTTTTTGTTTTTCAACGAACACGTGTATCGGATACGCGTGTCCTTTTGAAATTAAATAATATTTTAATTGGATACGTCTTTGGCGTATCCGACACGTATCGGTGGAGTATCGGAGGCGTATTGGTGTATCGGTGTATCGGATACAACACACCTTCATAAATAGGTGTAGCAACATAGGTTGCAAGGAAGATGTGAGAGCTGGAATGCTATGCGAAACGTTCTTGATCGCAGATGTGGATACAAGCTGCGAAGGATTAGTCGATGTGAAGAAGATGATGCCGAAGCAAGCGGCGAAGGGATCTTTTACCCCTTTTACTTGAATGTACAATGTGCGTGTGGGCATTTATGACTTTTCGTGTCATATCAAAGCAGACTTCAATATTAAAGGAGTTGCCGAATAGCGTTAGAATTTTGACTCAAAATGGAGTTATTAATAACCCCATTTAGCAAAAGCAGAATTTCTAAACACAAATAAATAAAATTTTATTTACTGTTTTAAAATAAAAATGGCACTAATTTCTCCATCACAAACAAGGCCTTAATAAGAATAAGTGGAGGATTAGGTACATGAAACCAGCCCCATATAATTGGGATAAGTCTAATATTGGTAATGATGATCTTTGTACAGTATTAATAAGAATGCTAAGTACTTAGCTTTACATGGTCAGGTATTAATTGGTTTTCAACATTTTATCCTTCCTTTCATGCATCTGAGATGCTGTGTTCTGGTTTACCTTCGGTACTTATTCTTCTATTATTTGGGTCTAATATGACTTTATTCACCTTCAGGCCATCTTCTGGCAGCAAAAGAACTTTTTTGGAGTTGATCTCAGTCCGTTGCATGGATCAGCATTCCAAGCATATTTTTCTCAGGTTCTCATCTATTAATGTATCCGTGGCTGCAATACTCTATGTAGTGTTTGTTGGATGAAGTGCAGTTAAAATTTGGTACTCACGCTTATTTTTCTTTTAAGCAATTGTCATAGTGCGTAGTTTTCTTTTTTAAATGGGTGCATTCAGATTAGGCTTCATACATTGTACTGTGACTTATAAACTTTCAGCATTTTTTTCTTCTTGCCCCTCTATCTGTAATCATTTCAAAGTTTTAAATTTTTGCTAGATTCATCTTTATGCATATTGCTAAAATGCAATACTAGCATATATTATGATCATTGACACTATTCTCCTAGAAATTTAGGCCACTTATATTACTAATGGACGTTGGTACTGTTTTATTTTTAGTTTATTTTTTTAGATGATTCATGATAACAAATTTTTTTGAGAGAACGTTTTCCTACAACAACAAACATTAAGTCTTTGTCCTACTACGTGGAGTCAGCTACATGAATCTTTTTTCTCCATTGTGTCCTATTAAAAGTCAAATTCTCCATTAAATCTAAAAAGAAAGACCATTTCTAATATTTTCTAACCAAGTCTTTGAGAGAACGTTTTCCTAATTTTACAATTTTTCCTGGTATCAAAAAAACTGTATCCAAGCATGAGGCTCCAATGCTTTTTTTTTTTTCACGTGGGGTGAGGTGGTGATGATGTAGATTTAAAGCTGTTTGATCCTTGGGTTATTTATTTCTTGTTTTAGATATTCATGAGCTTGGGTTAAGCAATGATTTCTTATGGCTGTGCTTTTGGCAACAATTCCCATTGGGTTTGTTTTGACAATGGTTCCGTGTGCATTTGTTTTTTTTTTTGGGATTTAATGAGTTTGATGGCTGAAAGCATCAAATAGGAATAAATTTACAATGAGGATATATGAACGCACAGGGCCCCAAATGTTTATAAATGACTACTCGCTGCCTTTATTTCTACCTATGCTTAAGGGCTTTGAGATATGTTGTGTTCTCCAGCTTTGCTTATGAGGTTTTGGGTCTTCCACAGTTCTAATTTACTTGAGGTAATATACCTTCACCCATGGGTTTTGAATTCAACTGGATTTAGGATTTATTATATTCTATTATGTCACCTGCGGTTTTTGAATTCCATGATCTTGCGGTATTCCTGGTCTAGTGCTAACTTACCTTATCTGTTATTTTGATGGATTTGCCGTGATCTGCAAAAGGTTAGCCACATCCCTCACTTAAATGGAAAAATTGACCAAGTCAAGGTTTGTATGTTAATATTTGTTGGATGTGATATTGGATGCCATTCATCTGCTCTGAATTAGATGGTGCATAGTGAAATATATTATTAAGAAGAATCTAGTGCTTTGAATGGACAATTTGCAGCCATAGCGCTTACCCAAAACAGGAAGCTTAACAAGAAAACAAATGATGCATCAGTTGAAAGATACCTATTTTAAACAGCCATATAACTTTTAATCAGTTGAGTATCATGATCCAAATGCAAGCTCCAATTTGATCAATATGCTACCAGTTATAGTAGAAATGGTGTTTCTGTTCCTATTGCATCCCTCAAAAATTAATTATAGACCAATCTGATTGCACCTTTTTTATCCCCGGAGCAAGTTCTTACTTCAGATGCAAATCTTGCTGGTATTTCTAGGATTTTGGAAAGCACATTCATATATTTCTGTTCCTTGCGTCTCAAAAACATGCCCTGAACCATATTCACTTTAAAAGGTACAAGTGTTGAATTCAATCCTCATGTCTCATCTTGGGTAGGTTATGTGACAAGTTGGTGGTAACATGGAAGTGGGTAGCACCAAAGTGGGAGAAGCTGGATAGAAAAGAAGGAAAAGAAAGGTGCCAGAAGAGGGATGTATTTGGCGCCAAACCTTTGCCTTTAAGGAAAGATTTTAGGTTTGGTATGGTTATACAAGCCAACAGAAGGTGAGCGTCGGTAGATTAATGGTGGATTTATGATCAGTAACCTCAGCGTGCCTTTCTGATCAGAAAAAAATCAATTGCTGGGCAAGCGGACCTGAAGTAGAGGAAATTTAGGGGTTAAGTACTTAGTTTTTTAGGTTTTCCCGGTGGACGAAACTACTCAACTTAACGAAATTTTTTGTGGTCAATTTTTTCAGTTTCATTTGATATAGCATATCTGGATAGATTTAAAATTTATAATATTCTGCAAATCATTAAGTTCGGTAAGTTGGTCTTCCTTTTCCTCTAGATCATTCTACGTTCTATGGTGTTCAGATTCAATTGTTTTTTTTTTTATAATTTAAATTCTTAGTGGTTACTGCTTGCTGGTACTTGCGTTGACTGGGAACTAGTATTTGTCTAATATTGAAGATAATTATACTTATTTTTATTCTACGGAGGTGTAATATGCCATCATATTTTTGTTTAGGCTTGTATTTATAATGGTAGAAGGCCTTCTTTAAATGCCAATGATTAAAGATGCGCCTTAGACCACACGTATTCATAAGAGCTTCATACATTTAAAAAGCTCTTTTCTCATTGACGTGTCTGACTTCAAAGAGTTATGTTTGTTGCACAGCCTGTTGTTGATGCGTTTGATCCAAGGTTGCTTGTTTCTCCGGCTACATTCCACACAATTGATTTTACTCGCATTAAGGTATTGTCCTCTTAACTCATTATGTCGTTGAGCCCTTCTGAAAAAAAAAGGAACAGTGTTTTTCCTTTACAAGCTTTTTTTATTTTTATCTTTACAATTTGTGTATTATGGGGTTTTGTGATGCTTTCATCTAGGAAGAGGAGCTATATGAAATTGACATCCCACTGCATTTCACAGCCTCAGTTGGTGCGAGGGTGCATGGGCTAGCTTGCTGGTTTGATGTCTTGTTTGATGGGAGGTAAGCTGGTACGTTCAATTTTGAGACTGATATGAGCTTATGGATGTTTTTCATCATTATTGTCAGTATTGTTCAACATATGCCTCCAAGACATTATTGCATATGCTGAACAATTCTCAGAAACGAGAAAATTAGATTATGAGGTTAATGAAGACTAACAACTTGAAGATAAAATTAACCTACAGATCATTCCTCACAATATTTTAATAATTTGGTGCATCAATGAAGCAATCATTAAATAGAAGGCATAGAAAGCACGAGGGAGGTGTGAGATGGCATAAGGTTCATTTTTTAAATTTATTCCATAAACAAACATGCCAACTTTGTAGGAAGAAACGTTTGAAAATTTTCAAAATTTGCAGTTTCGTTCATACAAATATGAATTATGCAATGGTAGTTATAATGGATTAATTGTGTTTCTCCCAAGGTTTTAAAAGGCTAAATCGTTTTGTCTAAGTGAGATGAGGTGTAAGCCTCGAGACGGATCGAGTTGTAAGCCTCGAGACGGATCGAGTTGTAAGCCTCAAAGCGGAAAAAGAAAGCACTTAAAACTTATAAATAATTAAAAAATGACAAAATATTAAGTAAATTATGAATATGATGATTTGTTAAGTAAATAACTCTTAACATTATAAACCTTGATGTCACTGTATTTGTTTTGGAACACCTTTCAAGTAGCTAGTTGTCACATATAAAATAAAATTAATAATTTGAAACATATGATCATTTATTTTAGATGTAATGATCATCTATTCTAAGCTTCACTTTGTTTTCCTTTAAATCGTAAGGAGTAGAACCTATTCAAAATATTTCAATTAAACCTTCCAAGATGATGTGTGCTTATAGTATTTAGCGAACTTTACATGCTATTATTCCTTAATTTTATATTTTCATATCTTCAATCAAGGAACATCATAAAACTAATTTGGTGATCTCACCTTTAATGACATTATAACTAGCATTTTGGGTTGTCAACTAATGTCAATTCTTCAAGTTGAATGGTATTAATCCTAGGTATTGTAGTTAGTATTAACTCTTTTATGTAATTGATGCCCTTTTAAATAATTTTAGTCCACAAACAGTGTAATCCCTAACATTGGAAATGAAGACAGAAAGCTCCAACAAATGTCGAAGTAACAAGAAGAAAGCTCGTTACCTTTACTGCATGAAAGAAGCAGGCGAAGTCGAAATAATAGTAGAACATGTAGTGTTACCTTCAATTAGAGCTCCAACTTCACACGAAGCATACAAGAAGCAGAAAGGTCTTCCATGAGCACTCTTGAATTCAAAAAGAAGAAAGTGTCACAACTCATTTCTTCACACAAAGCAGAAGCAGTGGCATATTTATTCCGAAAGGTCGTCCACCGAAAGGTCGAATTCCACTTTCTGCTTCGTGTCACAACTCATTTGCTTCGTGTCTGCAAAAAAGTCGTCCGCTGCTTATTTACTTCAAAATAGAAAGTTGTCCGCGAGCACTCCTGTCGGGATGAAGCGGAAGCAGGATGAAGCATAATCAAATAGAAAGTTGTCCGCGAGCACTCCTGTCGGGATGAAGCGGAAGCAGGATGAAGCATAATCAGCGCTTGAAAGGGAAGAAATTTGTTACCTTCGCTGCGAGCTTCGTCGAATCTGACGGGACTATTGCTGTCAAAGGCTCCATCGAACCTCAGACTGTTTCTGCAATCTTCGATTTGAGCTCAGATTGTTGCCACGAGCTCCGCCAAACCTCTCTTTCCAAACTCTATTCTCACGAAAGAAGGAAATCGAAGCAGCCCTAATGATAGGTCACGTGTATTTAAAACCTAAAATGAGGTGCTGCCTCACGCTACTTTGAGGCATTACACCTCGACACGTACGCCTCGCGTGAAAAAATCACACGCCTCATCAAATTCATCATGGCTTAAGCCTCGCACATGACTTGATCTCTTTTTTAATGATGGTTTCTCTTATTCAAGTATTGCATTGCAATTATATTGCAATGTGGTAGCTAATGAAGCAACTCAAAATAAATGGGCTAATCTAATAATCTAATAAGCATTATAGCATCTCTCATTTTTCTTCTATGAGCTTAGAAGCTACTCATTGTTGGTTAAAAAACCTAGAACGAATAATATTTCAAACAATATTAGGTTAATATGTATCAAATAATCTATATTAGGATAATATAAAGGTATGTTATATGTTGAAGTTCATGTTTATATTAGTGAAGAAACAAAATCTTCTTATATTTTTCAGCTCTTGGATTCGTTAAATTTTTTTCATTGTTTTCTACCTCTCTCTTACCAAGATAGGTGAAATTTTAGAAGATCAAAGTTGAGACCTTATTATATTCTAAAAGTCACCTATGTATTTGTATATGACTAATTTAATGTTATAATATCATGTCATTGCTTAAAATTGTGCAATATGAGGCTCACCTTGAGGCCCCCACCTCAGGGCAATTCCAGTGAACAATGCCTCGAGCTTTTTTATGAGGCCTACACCCCATCTTGGCTGAGGTCTTCTTTGAGGTGCGCCTTCCCTTGCTGGCACGAGGCATATGCCTCGCTCTATTTATGTATGTTTTTTTATAACTTAGCTAAATTCTATACAAAAGCCCTAAAAAAATCATGCCTTCTTACACCCTTAAGCCGCAACTTCCTCTCAACTGCCTCGACCTTCAGTCCAGCGCCTTCGTCGTAGTCACCACTGTCGTAGTTGCTGCCGGGGATCACTTGAAATTCGCACGCCACCACCATCTCATTTAAAAAATTGAGTATTATTCTTATCTTTATGTTGATGAAAAAATTTATGAAAGTGGAAGATGACTAAAATAAATGAAGATGAAGCATTTTGGGAGGTATTGGACACTACAAGATGAGACAGGGAAGAGATCAAATTTATTATGAAAACGATTCAAATAAAAACCTCCTTAGAAATGATAGTATAAATGATTTTTGAGTTGTTGCCAATTATTTCAATTTTCTTTAGTAATTAAGTGTAAAGAAGCAGGGAATTAAGAGAGGAGAAATTTAGAGCTAAACTTGATGTTATATGATACGCTTATACAATTCATATTTGTTATGTTATTTTTCTTTTGTAATATTTGGATTTCAATTATATTTCACATAATTTATTACTTACCACTTGAAATATTGTGCAATTTTTTATTTCATAAGTATGTAAATTTGTTATTTTATAGTTCAATAGAAAGTTAATATGCCATCCTTTAACATATTATTTGAGTATTATATAAAAAATAACTTTCACTTTTACTTTTTACTTTACGCAATTATTAGATTTTGAGGTTTACACCTTACCTCACGAACGAAAAATGCCTCAATACCTAATTGCGCAATTTTAAACATTGTACCATGTTTCTATAATTTAGTTCTTTGACTATAGAAAATTGATTCAAAATGGTCCCTCACATAAATTTGATATAAAATTGATCAAAATTTAATCCTTGATTATCCAACTAAGTGATCATTTTCGATCAATTTTGTACTTAAGAGACTAAATAGGAGAAATATGATATACTTCGAGTCAAAATTAGCCACATATAAATAGTCAGGGCCCATTTTGGGATTTAACCTACTATTGAATGGACATCATCATTCCAGAAGATTAAGCTAATTTGTAAGAGCTATTGCTAGTATGTATATTAATAATTTAATTCTTATTTTTATTTGATGTGAGATTATTTTTCACATGCATGTGGATTTTAATAATATCTCCTTCAAATGAGAGTTTATTTCATTGACCATCATTCTCCCTCATTTGAAAGTTTTTTAACGACATAATGACTTGAAATATTATGCTATAAAAAATCACTCAATTATAGAGAACCTTATGGGAGTCACTTGGTCTTGAACTTTGGTCGATCATGGTAGAAATTGTCAAGAACAATGTGAACTACAAACTGCATGAAACATATTATACTAGTTGAATCATTGGCTTTGATAGCAAGTTTTTAAGAAAGAAAATATTGTAGGACCAAACAAAATCCTTATATCGTAATAGATGGACACTCATCAATTCAAAAGCTATCGTAATAGATGGACACCCATCAATTCAAAACCCTAAGTGAATGACGAAGGGCAACAATTACCTAATTTTATTTTAAAATTTCAATTCATTGGAACATCAACAACCTAACTAAAGAAATAGTGGTAATACAGCAAGTCTCTCTTCTCCAAAACTGCAATATACAAACAGATCATAAGAACACAAGACAACCGTGCTAAAAACTTGTGTGCAACTTTTTACTAAAAACCCATGAGGAGTCGGGAATTAAAAATTCAAACATACTATCTTCCACAGCACTATTAAAATTGCATGAAAAAAATCCAAAACCGCTGCCCAAGAGCATTGAACTAGAGAAAACCAAAAGCTCAAGCTAACTTAAAAAACAATGACCAGTAGATAATGCCAAATAGATAATTCCATAGCCTTTTTCTTTTTAACTTTTGAATAGGTAGCTCCAAGGCACACCATTGTAGGATGCTAGCTAATCCGGTTGATAAGTGTCTTGAAAGTTATTGTCAAAATGTTGAATTCAATCTTCATCTACTCCATAATAATTCCTGCCCTGTTGACTTTGTGGTTGGTTAATAATAATAATTAAAAAAAAAAAAACTTCAAGGTCCACCTCTCAAATCAGATTATTTACTGCTGCATGACTCTTTCTCCCTCTCACACCCCTATATGATAGCCTTCTTATGGATTAATTTACTATGGACTTTTTTTTTCCTCTCCTTCTTGACAGGTAACATTGACTCATTAAACCACTGAACACAGAAACATCTTTTCCTTGCTATCTCCCAAAGCTCATCCTCAAAACATCAAGAAATCAGATCAAAATCAAAACTTAAGGCAGTAGATATGAAGGCTTCAACTTCAACTTCATCTTCCAGTAGTATGTAGGTTATTTGTCATATGAAATGGTGAAAATGATATCTTATTCGTGTTACTTTTATAATTATATTTACAGATTTTTAAATCATCATGGAATTTATAGAACAATATAATTTATATTTGCATTTCTTTCACCTTGAATTTGTAACAATCGTAGTTGAGTTTTTTGAAGTAAATATTAATAGTGCCTTCATAAATTTGAACTAATATATCATGCATAGTGGCCTTTCAAAGCTCAAAATTTATTAAGCCGTCAAACTTCTCATACTTCATTATAATCTTATTCTATGTTATGCTCCAATATCAGTTATTAAGAAAAACCTAATTTTTAATACATAAATGTCTACAAAGAGCAAATATAATGAACATGAATAGGTTATTTGTCATATGAAATGGTGAAAATGATATCTTATTCGTGTTACTTTTATAATTATATTTACAGATTTTTAAATTATCATGGAATTTATAGAACAATATAATTTATATTTGCATTTCTTTCACCTTGAATTTGTAACAATCGTAGTTGAGTTTTTTGAAGTAAATATTACTTTTAATTTAAAGAATTCTTTACCTTGATTTTAAAATTTAAAATAAACCTTTTATTTGTATTGATTTTTTAAAGCATTTTTCTAAATCATTCTTGTTCATTCATTGATTCTCAATTTAAAGAAATATAGCTTTAAGTTTTTATTTGTGTATATATATACTAATTGCTTGATGCAAATGCCCAAATGAAAAAAATAAACTTCAGACTTTTGAGAATTGTTTTAAAAATTTTCAATAATATAAATTCTTTTGCGTTGTCATCCTAATAGTGGTTCCTTGCCATTGCATCATTTGGCTATTTCGATTTTCTTTACATTTGCTATAGATTCATCCGAACCACTCCGAAGTTTTTTCTAATTGTTAAAAGCTTCTTTAAATATATTGCTTGATCTAGTCAACCTCATTGCTTACACATTGCAAGCTCTCGCAGTTCTGTTCAAAGATGGCTAACTACTGCACCTGGTGCTCCTACCACGCATTGGTATCAACTGCGTTGTCTCCTTTCCCAGCCAATATATGTCTTGTCTGGTCAAGAAATTACTGGACGATTTAATCTAGTTGCCCACAGTGCACAAAGCTATACAATTAATTTAACCATGTCAGGTTGGTATTAGTTCTGAATTTATTGTAATGTTTTTGGTGCAACGATGGATGTCTTTGAAGCGCTGATGAAGTTTCAACTATGCAGCTAAAATGTTTGGGCCTGGTGCTGATCAAGGAGGAATACTACAGACTTCTTCATGCAAAATCAACCTTAAAGACCCATATTATCGCATGGCTCAAAGTCCAAACTATGTGTGGAATCAAGATCAGGAACTGGAGGAAGGAATCGATCCTCAGGTTTTGACCAAATTTTTTTGAGGCTTTCTGGTAGTTCTCTATTGGTTTTTACATTCTTTAGGATCATCTGTTGAATTTACACAGGTGATCCTTTTTTCTAAATAATATCTTACTGCTGAATCCTTGCTCTGAGCTATCATTGCAAGGTACTGACACAAATAAAGGTTTTTCAGGGTTGTTTATTGAAAGTAAATCACCTATGTTAAATTTATCTACAAAATATAAAGCAGTTATCTAACTTGTCTGGTTGGTCAGGCTGACTTAGGCTTCTTTTGGTTTACTTGCTGTTTCAATATAAAAAACGTCAATAGGAGAAAAGGAGTTTTTTAAATGGTGAAGCTAATATATAATGCTTCTCAAAACAATAGAGAAATGGAGTTTTTGAAAGAGTACGCCTCACGTCCAAACATGTTTGTCAACTGAGTTTTCCGTTTCAAACCGAAAAAAGACGGAATTACGTGAAAACAAACGAACCCTTAAACGAAAGACTTCCTCATGACACACTTCGAAATCTTCGCTGCAATTGACATCTTAATTGAAAATGTAAACCGTTTTCTTTATGAAGATTTTCCCTAAATTTTGATTCTTATTGCCAACCCGGGCATGTAACATCTTTTATCGAACCAATTTCTTTTATAATTCACCACTCGGACACCCCAATGCAGCAAATCAGGAGAGGATCCAACCTTAATTTTCATGGGGGGCAAATTTATAAGTAAAAATCTAGAAATTTTTTTTCCATAAATATCCTTACAACCAAAATTTATTCCGAGGGCACTGCCTCTCAACCCCATACTTGTTCAATCGTTGTATGCTTCGCAGATATGTTGGGGTCCAAGGGGGCAGCGCCCCCTGACGAAACAAATTTTGATTGTAAGGATATTTTTTTATTCTCTTTGTATTTGGTTCATCGTTCACTAACAATAACATCTCGACACAAACATATTTGATCTCTTCTGAGCAGGAATCTTCACAAAATTTGAGTTCTCTACAGAAATTATTCATGACTAATTTTCGTTTATTTTTTTCTGGCCAGTATCAGCCCTGTGCTACAGAATGAATTTTCCATGATATTCCTTGTCAGATCTAATTGATCAATTAGTTTCTTTATTCTTACAGGAAATCATTCAAACACCTGAAGAAATTGATCCCTGCATCATTCTTCAGACTGCGGACAGTCCTGAAGCTTTGTTAAACCTATAAATGTGCAATTTTTTTTAACCCCCACAGCAGTGCATATTCCACTATATGTATCTCTGTATTTGATTTATCTTCCCTCCCTCTCTCCCTCCTAATCTTCCTTCTATATTTTCTTCCATTCCTCTTCGCTTTATTTTCTCTAAAAGCATGGAGAGAATGGTTGAAAAAATAAAAAAAAAATAAAAAAAAATCTAGCCAAGGTTGTAAAATCACCAATAAATTCTAAAACTATTTATCTTCTGTAGAGCTGCCTTTGAATCAGTAAAATTGAAAACATTTCTTTTATTTTTATAAAATGTTTCTAACAATGTATTTTCACCACAAAATTGAAGTATCCACTGATAATTTATTAATTTAAAAAGTAAATTTTATGAGGATAATATGTTTACTTATGAATAAATTTCATTTGGGATAGTTTTATTATTGCTTTTTAGTAATTTTTTTTTTATTAAAAATTGCTTTAGAAAGTATTATAAAAATTACCTCAAATGAAGCTTAATACTGAAAACATTTCTTTTATTTTTATAAAATGTTTCTAACAATGTATTTTCACCACAAAATTGAAGTATCCACTGATAATTTATTAATTTAAAAAGTAAATTTTATGAGGATAATATGTTTACTTATGAATAGATTTCATTTGGGACAGTTTTATTGTTGTTTTTTAATATACAAATTTTTTGAAGCAAGAAATTTTTTTATTAAAAATTGTTTTAGAAAGTATTATAAAAATTATCTCAAATGAAGCTTAATACTTCATTGGGATGTCTTTCTTACTATTTTTTAGAATAATTTTTACTATAAAAATTTTTATGCTTACAATTTTCTCATTAGAAGCAATAAAAAAAGTTGTCCTAAAATGGAGCCCAAGTTTTTGTGATTTTTTTTTTTTTTTTTTTTTTTTTTTTTTTTGAATTTCATATGACAAGTCTTGTATATCTTGTGCAAACATTTTATTTAAAATTAATATAAGAAATTCTTTTTATTTATTGGCACAATCATTTGGCCTCATAAATTTTTTGGATTAATAAAAGATTAATCTCATAAAAATGGTGATCAAGTGCAATAATTTCAATGTTGTGGCACTTCATTTCAATTCTCACAAGTAAAGGAACCCATCCATGAGTGAATGATATTAATATTATAGCCATAATTGGCTCTTCACAATCTATACGAGGAAGTTTTTCAACGCATGTAGCATCAATAGAAAAGCCATCGAAGTATTCTCTCTTTCAAGCATTTGTAAGATTGAGTCTCTAAAAAAAAAAAAAAAATTTCAAAAGCTCTTCATAAAAAATTCACCAGATTTCAAGTGTCGATCCTAAGTTTTTTTTGAGGTTTCTTCATGGGAAGACTGCTCATATTTGTTCGATTTTATTGTTGGTTTATATTTTGATTTGATTCACCACATGGTACAAATTACTACTATGTGACATTAATCTCACCATAAGTATTTTGATGAGTCTACTGAACTTTTATTTGGTACGTTCGGACGTCATTAAAATAGTGCAACGTGTTTTCACTATTTACCGTGCGGCTCGATAACCCTGATATGGAACGGAGACGGGATTGATATGTTTGCGTGTTGCTAGGTATTGCTCGGTATTTGCTCAGTATTGGTCGATTTTGCTTGGCAATAACGAGAAATACCATTATGTGAAGACCAATACCGAGCAATACCGAGAAATATCGAGCAATCGGTATTTCTCGGTATTGCTTGATATTGATCAGTATTGGTCTTCACAGAGCGATATTTTTCAATATTGCCAAGCAATACCGAGCAATACCTAGCAATACCGAGCAATACCTAGAGCAATATCGAGCAATATCGAGCAATATCCGAACAGAGCAATCCCGGGTCAAGTTGTCGGGACACGCGGTATTGAGTAAGACCACGTGGCGACATGTTATTGACGTTCTACAGGTCACCTGACATAATAATTGTTCCTGAATTAAAAAAAGTTGATAAATTGTTATTTTTGTATTACTAATAATTATTATTTATTAAATAAGGAGCATAGTTAATAATCTTTATTATTTCATTCATCTCATTATAATGTTATTTTTATATGAAATAAATTTAAATTTAAATATTAGAATAAAAATAATAAATTAAACTTTGAATTTTTTTCAAAATATTTTTATTATAACTTTAAAAAATAACAAATAAAAAAAATGCAAAACTAAAACAAGTACTATTTCGAATTCGTTTGAAAAAAATTAAGAAAATATTTTAAAAAATTAATTTGTACCCAATGGGAATTTTTTTTATTATTATGTATATTAAAAGCGAGTTAATTTTAAAATTTTAAGAAGCTTCTTTTATGAACATCAAGAAGAAATTTTGCAATCAGACAATTTTGAATATGAGCTATCTCGGAGAATAAAATCCCCTACAATTAAAGCACTTAAGCCGCCATAGAAACTTACAGTAATTTTTATTTATATTAACAAATTTAGAGGAGACGAGCATCTATTGGTTTATGAAGAGGTGTTGTGAGAAATTATTGCATACGGTCACCACCGGTCGTCCGTAGGTCAATCAAGACGCATCACGTCATCATTTTATTACGTACGGATACACCGGTCATCCATAGGCCAATCAAGACACAACACATCACCATTTTATTATGTTCCGATATTGTGTACGACTGTATACCAGATGACGTGATATATTCTAATTTACCTTCGAACTGTTTGACGACCGCACCTAATAATTTCTCCATTCTAAATGCAGCCCCAAATGGAAAACTTATTTTTCACTTCAACTGAACTCTAAATTTACATAAATAATAATATTTTGTAATTTTTTCATCTAATTTAAATAATTAATTAAATAAAAATTAAACATATTTAAATTATAAAACTAATAACATAAATTAAATTAATATATTTAGAATCAAAATATTAAATTATAATAATTTTAGGAGAATTTAATAATTAAAAAAAATAAAGTACGACATTAATACTGTCGGTTGAAGATGCCCTAATTTCAGTAAGTCGTGACGAATCGAGATCCTTCGCCACCAAGGTGGGGAGTTCCTTCCGCGCGTCGCATGCCTGACCAGACGGACACGGCGTTAAATCTTGACCGTCCGATCAAGCGAGTGACGCCAAATCCCATCGCGGCACGTACTATAAGAAGGGGCCGTGCCCCTCCGCTACTCTCACCGTGATTCTGTCGCTTTGGTAAAAAAAGTCTACTTCTTCTTTCCTGTTTTTCGGATTTCAATTTCGTTAGGGTTTCTGTTTCCACAGCGATGGCCGAATCTGACGCCCAAATCAACCAAACTGTAAGCGCTTTTTCCCATCATCTCTCATAACAAACAGAAAACTGCTTTTCATCTTTGATAATCTGATTGAATATGTTCGATTTCGTTGTGTAAAGGAGCAAGAGGTGAAGGGGGAGGTGGAGAAACTGCAGTACCTGGAGATCGTGCATCTGGCTGCGATCAGGGCGGTTCTGTGCGTTACGACCCTGTACTTGTACGCAAAGGAGAATTCCGGGCCCCTCAGAAATGGCGTCGAGAGCGTAGAAGGCACCGTCAAGACCGTCGTTGGCCCTCTCTACGATCGCTACCATGGTTTCCCCTTCGAACTCCTCAAGATCGCTGATCGCAAGGTTCCCTTCTCTTCCTTCCTTTTTCCCCCCTTCCTTATGCGGTGATCAATCGCCGCCTCTTCTCACTCTGTCACGTGATGCAGGTCGGCGCGTCGGTTCAGGAGTTGGAGCGGCACGTGCCGGAAGGGGTAAAGAAGGCGCCGGATATGGCCAGATCGGTGGTCGGCGAGGTCCAGCGAGCCGGAGTGGTGGCGACGGCTGCCGGTCTGGCAAAGGCTGCTTGTTTCCGTGCCGAACCGGCGGCGGAGCGCCTGGCAGCGTCGGCGTGGAGGTCACTGAATCGTCTACCTGTCTTCCCTCAGGTGGCTAGCGCGGTGGTTCCAGCCGCCGCCGGCCTGTCGGAACGTTACAACCGCGCGGTATCGTGCGCCGCGGAGAAGGGTTACGCTGTCTCCGCCTATCTGCCTCTCGTTCCCACCGAGCGTATCGCCAAAGTCTTTGACGTGGCGGTCGCCGAGTGATTTCGACGGCTGTGATTATCCCGTGTCTTGAATGGACGGTTATGATGAATGTTTTTTTTTTTATCTAGTTGTGCTGTTTTGGGTACCGTTTTTTATGTGAAAGTCGTTTGGAGCCGCGTGGGAAGTAATTATGTACATTATATGCGCTATTATTGCCATTGTTGCTATGTGTAAGTTCATCTGGTTTTAAAAAAATCAAATCTAAAATATTTTCGTTATAATGTTATCATTCACCTTTCATTTCATTTGAATTTCAAAATCCTCAAATATGTTCAAGCTGTCCCCACAACAACATCAAGTTTCATCCCCACTATGTGAGATAGGAACAATTATTATGTCCTCTGATCGTGTGTTGCTATAGGTTCGGCCACCAATGTTATAACGCCATGTAGAGGCCCGAAGACCCGACCCAAACCCGTATTAATTGTGAGTTTTGGCGTGTTTTTTTCAGTAATTCGGCTAAAATGGGCGGGAATAATTTAAAACCCGCGATAACTTTATATGAATAAACTTTTGGTCGATTAGCTTCTGTAGGCAGAACGTTATACAGTATTTATGGTTTACAGGTAGAAGAGAAAGCTTTCGCGAAGGGCGGGTTGGGTCGGCGACTTTTCTTCATTCTACGTGGCGCTGATACATTGGTGGCCGAATGTAGAGGAGCGTGCGTTCACCGGACCAAATAAAAGTTCGTGAGGTAGGCTATATGTATCTTGTTTCTGATCCATTATGAGTTTCATCTATCAAGATTAGTGGAAAATTATTACATACGATCAATAGATTGTCTGAAGTTTAATCAAGATGTGCCATATCATCTGATACACAACAGTATATAATAATAATAATACACATTAAATTGGTGATGTGATCCATTATGAGTTTCATCTACTAAAGTTAGTGGAAAATTATTACGTCTGAATAACGGACTGTCTGGAGTTTAATCAAAATGTGTTACATCATTTGATACACAACAGTATATAATAACAATACACAGTATATTGGTGATATGGTACGTTATGATTGACTTTAGGATGACCTCCGGTTGCCGTAATAATTTTGTCGAGGTTAGGGTCTCTCTTTTCTAAGATAAATTTTTTTTATAAGAAATTTTTAAAAGGGAAAGAAAAACTCAACCACTTGAAGTACACCTCTAAATTCTGAGAGGTAAAGATCACACTTTTAGACTGAGATCATTCTTCGATGATGTCATGAATATGTATATTTTCAATATATATTTTCGTGATGTTACGAAAGAGTGGATTTATATGTTCCAAATATACCAAAAGAAGTAGAGAAGGATGTGAAACAAACCTCCTCTATGATCAAAGATGTTAGCCTTATTTATGAAGTCAAGACAACTTTTACGTACTAATAAAGATAACCTATTTGTCAGTGTATATTTTCAAATATAATGAAAGGTTTTTGATTTAGGGTTAGATTACTAATAAGATTTCACCATGAAATGTGTTAGGATGTTGTGATTTTCAAACAATATGTAGCAAGAGAGAATACTTAAGTTCCTCATAGGACTTAATATAGTGTTTAATTAAGTTTTCCTCTTGGCAAGGGATGAGGATAGGGGTGTCAATTTTTGACATGACCCGAAACAGGACTAGAACATGACCTGGAAAAATTCAGGTTCGAGTCAACCCAAACCCGAAATAGGTCGGGTTCAACAAATCAACCCATTTTAAAAATCGGGTTGGGTTGACCCAGCAACCCGAAATTGACCCGAAAACTCATATTTGATTCAAAAACCCGAGATTGACACGTTTTTGACCTGAAAATCGAAGATTGACTCGATTTTTGACCCGAAAACTAGCAATTTTGGGTCAACCCTGGGTCATTCGTGTCGGGTTGGGTTGACCCAGACCCGAATCGGGTCGGATTCGGGTCCGAAAACCTGACGCTTTTTTAAAAAACAGATCGGGTTCGGATTGACCCGAATAGTGCAGGTCAGTTCCAGGTTCGACCCGAACCCGACCCGTTGACCCGAATTGACACCCCTAGATGAGGAAAGTAGAAAAACAATTATGTTAAAAGCACCAAACGTCCAAACTCAGAAGAATTGGCCCATATCCACTTAAAGTGAAAGCTCAAGAAGGATTGATTGTTGCTGGACCTACCAAAAAAGGAGGGCAAAAAATCCCATCTTAAGATGACCTAAGATACAACCACTATAAGAAGAAAGGGAATAACAAAAAAGTTTGTTAGAAACTTTATGGAGAACTCCAATGCTATGGAGGAGGATACAAAGAAAATTAGCCAAAAGAGTAGACTCATTGTTTAGGGTTAGGAGCTAATTCGGAAGAAATCGACAAACCAAAAGGTTTTCTTAACTCACCTGTAAAGTCATTTGGATCATGTTCACTTACTCAAAATAGTAAAACTTGGGACTTCTATGTCTTAAGAGCCTCAAACAACCCTCCCTCTAACATTTGGGTCACAGAATTTGGTGCAATAAGAAAATCACGATAGTTGATGATAGTTACACTAATGATGATCAAAGACCAAGGGACCGACTTTTTTTCTCTCGTTCACGCTTAAAAATATGTTTGCATATTCCTAACTTTATCATATGTTTGTTATTCATTCATTAATAACCAAAGATTAAAACTATTAAGTGATTGTTTTGGCTAATCATTGTGTTTTTCAAGACTTAACGAATAAAATGATTAGCCAAGCTAGAGACAAGAACATGTATCTATTTGAAGACAATAACGATCTAAGCAATACTCCATCTTTCTCTTGTGTCTATCAATTCAAATAAACATGTTTAGAAACACCTTTATTTAGTTCATCAATCTTTCAAAATTCTAAATTGTATGCTACCATTGTTTTTTTAAACATAATGATTTTGAACATTTATCTATTATGAAACTATTGAATTTGTAAGACATCATGAGTAAATTGAGATTATCAACTCCCTTTGTTTTAATCCACTCTTAACATTTGAAGACCCTATAGAATTCCTAATTTCTCAGGGACTAAAAGATTTAAGACATTCATATGACATGACTACCTACATAAATAGAAATCCAACATGAGTCATGCACTTCCAACTTTAATCACAATAATAAAAAAATAAATGTGAGATCAAGATTAAATGACTTGAAGTTGATAACTTTAGAGAGTATTTTGACCAAATATGATCTTCATTCCTTGAAGAAGAGGCTATTGTCTAGTGTTCATCAATCTTTTTGTTTTAACACCCCAAAACAAAATGTGGTGGCACCAAATAAAAGACACATCTCCAAGTTAATCAAGGCCCATCTTTTTTAAAATTAGATTCCAAAAGAGTACTGTGGAGAGCTATTTTGACTTTCACATATTTGATTAAATAGTTCCCTCAATTATTGATTTAGAAGAGCACTTTAAATTATTTCATTTAATAATCATTTTTAAAATTCACCACAAAAAAAAAAAATTTTGGTTGTCTCATATGTCCACATTCATAAATAAATATATGGTAAATTTGATCTAAGAGGGCTTAAATGTCTTCTTAGATATTCTTCTACTTAAAAAGATCATAAATATTATCATTGGATTTCAAAGAATTTTTTTGTTTCTAAAGTCTTCAAATTTGTTGAAAAACAACCATTCTTCTCAACTTATCTTAAATGGTGTATTAATGACTGATGGTTTGATGATAAAAGTGGAGAGTTCTATAAAAACAACATGAAGAATTGCTCATATCCCTATGAGCGAGACTTTTTTGGGTCGTGTTATATGTTGTGGCTAAACCTATTGATGGGAGAGGTGAATTTTCATCTTATGAATCTTGGTTAATTGAATCTCCTGCACCAAGCATTATTTCGAGACATTCCGTATATGAGCCTAATCAAAGAGAAAATAAGTACGATGAATTTGATGTTTTCTCATCATACATTAAACAAACTAATCATCAAGAATAGCATAGCCTAATCCTATAGAATTAGCTAGAAGTTTAAACTTATGCTCTCCTCTAATGTCTCTCTCTGAAGATGGGTCAATGCAAATTAACATTGATATCTTGACATTAAAAGTCGATACCAAAAGGTGAAGACTCAGAACCCATACCAATTACCTCTCTACTTATCTATTTGTCTCTTATACTAACAATATTGAGCTTGATGAACATATTGACATTAGGAAAGGTGTTAGACCCCTTATATCTCATAACTTAATGCACATCCTTTTAAATTTTCTCTCCAAAACATAGATCATTCCTTTCAAAAAACAACACGTTAAAATTCCTCGAACTCTAATTGATGCATTGTGAAACAAGAATTGAAATGAAGCCATGAGCTGAGGGTGTTGTAATCTTATTGTTTATGTTAATCACATAGTGATAGGAAACACTTGTAGATCTCAAGTATTTCCTATCAATCTTCGGAAAACAGCAAGAGTTCTCCACAAAAATCCACACAAAACCACGAAACAGTAGATAATTTGTATTATTTGATGAAAGGGAAACGAAAAATACCAATATACAACTGATCCTCTATTCGAGAGGATGATCTTTTACTCCCAAATGTCTAGACGCCGCCAGGCCCAAAGAAACTAAGAGAACTTAAATTTCAGCCAAATTCAAGATGCCTTAATCCTAGGAAAACCAACTATTTAATGCATACAATCAAAAGGAAATCTTTAAACAGTCCCAACGTTCAAATTTCCCTCCAAAATCTCTAAAAAATCCTTCCAAAATAGCTCCCTAACCCTTGTGTCTTGCGCTCAGCGCATACATGAGGCAGACATTTTCGTTTCTGTTCGTGTAAGCCGGTCCCTTCGGACAGGCTAGACTGATCCAATGGACCGGTCTAACACATAGCTATGATAAGTAATGACAATGAAGAAACATATTCAATAAAAAAAAAGAACTCAATATAGAATTTGATATCAAAGAACAAAACAAGCTGAAATATTTGACATAGAAGTTTCCTAACTTAAAAAGAAGAATATCTATCTCTAAAAAAAACAAAAAGTTATGGAGCTATTAAGAGAAACAAATATGATAGATTGCAAGTTATGTGAAACTCTAATAGAATTGGGTCAGAAATTGGGCACCAATAAACAAATGATCAAAATAGACAAGGGACAATATCAGAGGCTATTTAGAATGTTGATCTAAATGTTACACACTCTTCTAAATATAACATTGATATAAGGTTTGAACAATACAAATAGAATACTGTTACAACAGGCTACCCTAAATAACCAAAGAAAAAAAATTACAAGAATTCTGGATTCTAAATCCACACCCAATGGAACATCAAAACACAATTTGCACCAAGTGATTAAATTCCAATTTTGCAATTTCTTCCTAAATCGAACCTAGACTTTCTTGATGGACGAAGTCATGATTCCAATAGACCCGGAAATTGTTAGTCTTCCCGGTTACAGAGTTCTTCTTAATCTTGTTCTATGACGAAATTAATAAATGAAATAATTAACTAGCTTAATTCTATCCTGAAATTTACGAAACATAATCATAGGTGAATAATTCTTTCTTAAAATTAGAAAATAAAATCATAGGAGAAGATCTCTCCTTTTATTCCTAAAATTAATTTCCTAAATAAATTTTCTAATTAGAAAACAAACTAATAGGAGAAGATCACAATCAATCTCTATTTTTACCCTAAGAATACATTCCTAAATAAATTTCCTTTCAAATATTCAACAGTATGTTCCCACCCCTCCTTTCAATGATGTAAATACTATGGGCTATTCCAAATTAGATTGAAAACAAGGTTTGCCCGAATTACTATGCTGTTTGTTGGCAAAGTTCTTCTAGAATTTTCTATCTTCCTTCAGTTCTTGAGGAATGTAGATCCCATGCGACTCCATGCTTTCAAGAAAGCCTTCAAACCTAGAATTATAAACCTGTAGCTGCCTGAAATCCCTTAATAACCAAGTTCAACTATTGGAACCTATTGCAACGGCCAAGGACTGCTGAAGAGAAGGTATCTGGAGCTCCGGTGATCAATCTTGGTGGAGACCCGGACTCCACTACAATCTCCTTCCCTCTTTCCATCTCTAAGATAGGGGAATCCACCCCAAATAGGGAACTCCTTCCCTAAATCAGAATATTAAAGGCTCTGTAATCCTGCATTTAGATATATTTTAGATAAGTTGAGAATGTTATACGGTTATACCTTTACCAACAAGTTTTAAGGAGAGTTTGCGATATTCAAGTCAAGGACTGCAAAGTGAAAGACGATGGACATAAATCACAAGTTTCACAGGAAAAGATAGAAGGGTACATCTCCAAAATTGGAGAAAGATTGGACTTAATTTGAAGGTTGACGAGAGTCCTATTTTGCAACTAAATTAGGAGCTACTGGTAACTGGACTGGAAGCTGTCCTGGACTAGAATGTCAAGCTAAGAGAGATTGAATTGGTAGCTTTCCTAGACAGCAAAGACTGAATTGGAAGATAATATAAAGGCTAGCATTAGTTGAATTGGAACCTGTTATGAATTGTGAGGCTGGCCGTAATTGAATTGGGAGAAATTATGTATTCTGAGGTTGGTTGGCGGGATTGAATTGGAAGCTACATGCAGCTCACCTTGGTCTATTGATTGGGAGTTTTGGCAACCAACCAAGAGGTCTCGAGTTCGAGTCTTGCGTATGTGAGTTTAACTTAATTGACCTAAATGTCCAAAAAAAAAAAAGGAAGCTACTATGGTTTTTTATTTGCTCTAATTATAATTTATTATAAGCAACAATGATTTAATTTCAAAACCGTACAAATTTATAGAAGGTATTAAGCAACTTTATGTAAATTTATCAACCTAATGCATAAAAATACCACTTTCTAAATAAAGTATGTAAGGTTGTATATATATACATATATACACTATGGGGTTTAATTAATTAATGTTTAGTCTTCTCCCATTTGGCAATCTAGTGTTTGGACCAAACATATATAACCTATTGATTATACCCTTTCTTGTACATAACAGTAAAACTAAAATTGCTTTTGAAACTAACAATTCAAGTGCATATCACATGCAACTCACTTTGATCTATTAGTTAGAAGTTTTGGCTATCAACCAAGAGGTCTTGAGTTTGAAATTTAAATATATGATGTGTATGTGAATTTATCTTAATTGACCAAAATGTCTCAAAAAAAGTGCATATCGCAACAGGCTTAATAAATGATAAGTCATTCATTTGATAATCCTGTAACTTTACAGTCGCACCCTAAACCTATAAGACGATACAAGTGATGAAAATCTCACAGATTATTGACATTTTGCTCATCTATCAATGTAAGCACTTTGTATCAATAATGTGTTAGATTGTCTTTTAAAGCTTATACATAGCCTCGCAGCGCTTCTTATCTTTTCTCTCAAGAACCCCTTTCCCTACGCCTTTCCTGTAGGTTTCCTCCATACAAGGGTGGTGCAAATTCAGTCTCGGATAGCAAACAGTAATGTGATCACGACAAAGGAGTGCTCAAACAAATCTTATGACAGAGAACTAACTGTGCAAAAAAAAAATTCCTGTTAATCATTGGATGATTGATAAGCCGGTACTGATACTTGCATTTGGTAAGATATTTAATGTAAGAGGGATGGATAAAATGCACAGCATTGCATCACTTCAGATTCTGGCAAATAATTCAATTAAAGTGGGGAGGGAGGATTGAACTTTTGACTGTATAAACAAGGTAAGTTGAAAATTTTAAGAATTAGCCAACAATGAAGCAAAAAATTATCACTTTTGGTTTACTCCAAATACAGAAGTGGTGCCCAATGAATTATACCACTATAAAAATCATCAATGAAACACTGAAGATGATTAGTAATTAAGGAGGCTTAACATCAAAACTGTTATCGGAAAATTAATGAACCATGCTGATGATTTGCTCCACAGGTATTTAATTTTATGGAATTTAACAAGACTGAAAAATGATACCTTGCCATAGAATTGTAAGGCACAATGCAGCATATGTTTGTGATTAGCATTCTATAATGGCATTCATCTTCCTATTATATAAGAATTATACTGATTTTCAATCAATATTTTCTCAATGTAAGACAAGTCAATCTTGTGCCTATATTAATGAAGGATATTTAACTATAAAATTATGCATTCTTATTTCATCTTACACAAATTATAAGAACATTCACAAGTTCATTTTCATCTAGAATTACTAAAAGTAAAGGAGAAACAAAAAATCAAGGAAAGGGAGGACCTTTTGAAAATTCCGCCCAACAGTCGAGCAACCCTCAAATACAAGCTGTTATATGATCAGAACATGCTCATCTCCAGGAGAATGAGAATAAAATCTTCCCGTGTTATCTAATCTAGTTCACTTCAAAGGCCTTTGCACAAAATAGCAGGACAAGCATTCCTGCAGGTGATGTAAAATGATACATTTGTTATATCTCATCAAGAACAAGAATGGCTTCCTTTCACACAATCGGTAGTTTTTCTCATGATATCTTGAGATTTCTCCTAATAATCTCCAACAATAACTCATTCCATGTATCAATCGGCCCTGGCATGCACCAATGCAAGCAATCCTGTGGCGGTGGTTCCCCATTTGGTCCCCTCCTCGTCTTCTTGTTTGGGTCTGTGCTCCTATATGGCCCTGGATGCCCATCTGGTCGATAACCAAACACATCTGTGATATCCATAAATATAAGCTTGGATGAGTTCCCGGTCTTCTCCACTGCTCGCTGGAATCCTGTGAGTTGTTTTTCATGCATCACTTCTGTGAATCCATTGTTCACTACTTCACTAACTGGGTTAACTTTTCCGGTGCACGAACCACCAGTATTCCAAGCCCCACCCTCATAATGATCTGGAGAATATGATCGAACAATTGCTAGACCAGTAAAATTGGGATGAGTTGCAATGGCTCCAAGAGCTGTCTCCATCGACAAACCAAATGCCTCAACATTATTAATCCTCATATCAACTGCTGCATTTGGAGGGGGTGACCACAGCTGACCTCCAACAATAGTTTCGTTAAGAATGTAAACTGACTGTTTTGCAAACCAATGGCCAGAGGAAAGCACAACAACATCAAAGCCTGGGAGAAATTCCATCATTTTCTCATCTGGTATGTCTAAATGGACCTTCACAACCCCCTTGGGAGCAAATTCCATTGCACTGGGGGTGTTCTGAGCTAGCCAGGAGGACCATATGCGTACAATCATTGTCGAGGTGGATCTGAAGTACCATCTATGAATCCTTCTATTGCCACGGTTCTTAGGCACTTCAACCTGCCAAAGAATGCAAAGCAAGGACTCCATCTGATTCCTAGCAACCGAATCACCCACAAACGCAAGTGTTTTACCCCTCATAAGCTCCAGGAACTTTTTTGCATCAAACTTTGGCAACTCACATTGATCAGGCTTCCATCTCCAGTTCTCATAATCCTTGTCAGGCCTTCCATTTCCCTGGCAATTTTGCAACTGTGTGATAATAGGACAGCTATTGTTTGTATACAGAGGTCCCTCAGGATTATGGACCCATTTCCCATGATAAAGATCACACCTAACATGCTCACCAGAGGGGAACACAGGGCTTTTCGAAGTTACTAAATCGGCATCTGGATCATTAGAATTGCCACCAAATTCCTTTGCAAAAGGGGTATTTGAAGAACTTTGATTGGCACCTAAAGTAAAAGAAAGGTCATCATCAAATTTTCTCAAATCCAAAACAGCACCTGAAGTACCGACATCGACGCTGCCCGATTCATTGCCCTCCAGTTGAGGTTTCCCTTGGGAGACGATGTTAAGCGAGGCGGGAGATTCAGGTTTCCAGCCGCGATTTTCACCCAAAAAGTATTCTTGGACGGAGGAAGTAATGGGGCCGGAAACGAGAAGCAAAGAAGCTACGATTAGAAAAATGGCAGAAGCTCCAACGATGGCGATGATTGAGGGCAGCGATCGGAGGGCGGCCATGGAGAAAGACTTGCTATTTGTACAGCTAAACACCATCGATGCGATCTCCTTTTGTGTGAAACTACATGGTTAGGGATGGAGCGGGAATCGGTAGGAGATTGTCGAATGGGAGCAAGAGGGTTTGATAAGCAGCGTGGAGATCGAGAGAGACGACGCGGATTGATGATTGATGGTCGAAGGCCTCTTAACTCATAAAGAAGCAGATTGGCTAATCTAATAACGAATTAGAATGCCACTACCATTCAGCATCATCTTTCAACATCTAAGAATGCCTGATCAATTACAACGAAAAAATATATATTAACTAATTTGACATAAAATGAAATATATATATATATATATCAAAAAATTTAATTTGTGCATAATATTTATATACTATTAATTTCTATATTTAATAATTTTTATGAGGATAATTATAAAATTGTTATGAAAAAAGATAATTTTTTAAAAAATTATTATAAAGAATAATTTTCTATTATATAATTTTTTTAAAAACAGTAAACAAATTATATCCTAATAAAAATTGTAATTGAGATTTAAATAATAAAAAAAATTGTCTCAAACATTTCCTAAGATATTTTAATTGGATTTGAACCTCATCAGTTATCCTGATTATTGCAACGATAATAAATGCTAGTCCATAATTTAGTTTAGTGCTTATTTGATTGCTATAAACAAAATTGTAGATTTTAAAAAATGATAATTTTGCATTTTTCATGTAAAAATAAATATATTGTTTTAGAGAAAATTTTGAGATTTTAATGTGTGATTAATTACATCCAAACAAATAGTAGATTAAATAAATTTCTTCTTTTTTTTTCAAAATGACTTCAAACAAACAAATGGGCCCTTATATTGTTTAGAATCAAGATTTTTTAAAATAAAATTAATTTTGACTAAATAAAGATAGAAAAATCTATCCAATCAGGCAATCATTAAAAAATTTCGTTAGTTATAATTCATAACTTTCTCTTTCTAATCATCATGATAATTGAATTATAATATGATCCGCTATGCTGACACAAAGCACTTCGATTTTAATTTCAAGCTACCATAATATTTTTTGTTTTGAAAATTTTGCTAGTTCTGTTTGTTAAGTTAGAATTATTTATTATAAAATATTATAAAAACAACATTTAAATATGAATTACAAAAAGATCATCTCTTGAAGTGTAAGTTACACCCCTATAAAATTATATAAGATCTTATTGATAGAATATCAATAATCTTTGATGACTAGTCAATAAATTTAGTAAATTTTAGTAATAAAATATGAATTTTGATTGAAAAAAATAATAATAGAATTTTATCAATAATGGCAAACTCATAAAAGATTGTTCATTAAAAAAATTACAATGGTTTCAGCAATTATGAATATTTGAATAAAATTTATAATGTTTCATCTTATGAAAAAAATATTAATTTTAAATTCTATAAAGTGGGGGAAAAATAGAATAAGTATCAGCAATTCGAGAAATTCAAATAAATATTCTTATATATCAAAGTTGTTTTTTATTCAAAAAAATAGAATAATTTTTTTTTAATCTTTATTCATAAAAATAGAATAAATTGTGAAACAAAATGTAGTAATAATTAGGCTAATTTTGCAGTTCCTCGTGCTTCGTAACTAGGCAAAAGGGTTGCCATTCTTCTTATATATATACATAAGAATAACAGTTTGAATAGTCAGGTATGATAGGAGCTCATTAGTCATCGATATGAATTGAAAATATTGCAGATAAATAAAATATAGAGCTCATGGGTTGATGCTGTAGCTGACCTTTGTTACTCCTTTCTTTGATCGAACTTGGGTAACCTGCAATGATAAACCATTGAAATATTAGGAAGCTAAGGATCTAATAGGAACCTGCTTTTCATTGCTTCGCTTTTAAAAAAGCAGTCATAATTCTGTTTATCTGTAACTTTATTGTTGCTTAAAAAAATAATGTGTTAAAAAGCTATTTTTTAGGATCAATTTTGCAGACATGTGATAGTAATAAAAGATTATTATGTTTTTTTTTTTTTTTTAAAAAAAGATTATAATGCCCACAATGACTAAAAGAAATCTAATTTTTCCTAAACCAGCTTTATAGTTGCCCCAAATGAACCCTAAGACAGGAGAATTATTTTGTGCGGAGACCGGACGGCGAGAACCGTCCGGATTTGCTGCCCTTTTGCAAATACTCAACAAAAGAGCAGCAAGTATGCATTCATAATGCATATTTGCTGCTCTTTTATTGCGTATTTGTAAACGCACAGTAAAATGACAACAAATATTCAATTACTAGGATATTTGATGCATTTTATTTGTCCTTTTGTTGCGCTTTTGCAAATACTCAGCAAAAGGGCAACAAATATGCAATTATGAATGCATGTGGAGAACAAGCGGTAATATGAAGAACAGATAATCTTCCCCTTTCACATGTAAACACAAAGTACTACTATTCAACCATCAACAAAACTGGCAGTATCTTAACAAACAAAAAGGCCATTTCACATACAATTACCTTAAAGTTTTTTATGTCTGAAATGTCAGCAACGTGAGTCCCTCCACAAGGGCATCCGGCATTGTCACCTAATCTCACAATCCTTGGGGTGCTGCCCTGAATATTTGCAAAGGCTTAACTATAAATTTTGTCAAATTACAAATTATTACTTTCAACAGAAGAAATATATTGTACGAAAGAGCAAGAAAGATACTCCTCAAACAACAGTGTAAGTGCCAAAAAGCTGACTGAAAACTATTTTATTTTCTGCTTAGCCCGTTGTGAAAACCAGTGGTGATTGCGAGATAATGCTCGTCACAGATGGATTTATTTTCAACCAAGGAACAAGATCGATTAAACAAGCCTTTGCATGGTGATTTTGAGTTGGGCTATATGAAATAAAAGTCATTGCGAGCCCCCCAAGATGGGTGAAATTATTCTGTGCGAACACCGAATCAGAGCATGTCATGTCACCCGAGTGTTGTGTACCGTGGCTGTGTGTCTACTATGTACCGGGTGATGTGGTGCACTCTGATTCGCCTCTGGATGGTATGATGTCTGCACAGAATAATTATTCCCAAAACGGAGGTGTTGTTAAAAAAGTGTTTCCCATTGTGAAGCTATGACAGGTTTTCTAAGGAAACGAAAGCCACAAATTACCAAATAAAGCCTGCATGACGATAGAGTTTACCTAAAAAGGATAACAATCCACAAAGATCTAGCCATCATGAATCAGGAAAAAAGATCAGTTACAAACTTACAATCGAATCCTAATTTATGAAATTATAAGACACATTTAGACAATTAGGGAGAATTCCTTTAAACTGAGTTTCGTGAGAAAAATCCTATTTCAACAGATATGAGGCTTACAGTGATGACCAAATGTGTAAACCATCTAACCTTTGTATATTCATGAAATAAAACGGTCGCCCAATATAATAGCTTATGGTTAAGCTTCATATAATGTTCAACATATAATCGTAAATAGAATTTGGTTGTAAATGATTCCAATCAGATTGGCAAACGGTTAAGTTAGATTCTATACAAAAAACTTAATGAAAGCTAAAGAAGTTGGAAATCATAAACATCAATATTTTAGAAAGAAGTTGAAAGAGGTTTTCAGAAGAAAAAGGATGAAACGGCATTTACAATAAATAGAAAAGATAAACCTGCTGGGAAGGCTAAAAGTTTATTATACAGCAACTAGAAACATAAAAATTAGCAGTTTACACTAAAACTGGGGTTACTTAGTCTCCGTTAACTAGCCCTTGGGTTAATCAAGGTGTTACTTGAATGAAATAAAGCCTAATCAAGTTAAATATATCAATTAAAGACAATTAACATAATAAAAAATTAAAAAAGACAATTAACATAATCAGACAGACAATTTAAAAATTGGGCCTGATTAATCTTTTTTAATAAACATTAAACTTAATAACTCACTTAACCATCTAATTATCTCCCATTAGATTCAGCGTGTTGCTTTGGGACAAAAAAAAGATCTTAATGGCTAGATTTATGCAATTCTAACTCGATAAGCCCTATGCTATTTTAAATTACAGTGCAACAAAGGCTTAGCAACCAAAACAACCGCTCATCTTTGCTTTGCTTCCCCTCTCATTGCTCACAACATGGACTCCAAGTCTCTTCGTCACGCATAAATGCCACAACCATGCAATCAAAGGTGTCCACCTATGATGCACTGACAGTTCTCCTCAAAGAGGCGTGCAGTGTCCGGCACCGTATCCGACACGACACGTGTCGGACACGCCGAAAATGTGTCCGATTTAAAAAAAATATTAAATACAAATTGGACACGTGTGTCAGACACTCGTATCTTAAATATTTTATGAATTTTTAAAAATATAATTTCTTGATTTGGCAGGATTTAAACTAAATTTCTTATTTTCTATCCACAACACCAAATCAACGACTGCACCTAATACCCATTTATCGAATATTCTCATTTTAATTTCTCTTTGGCAGTGAATGTATTTTCATCTCATCTCTCGATGACTGATAAACGGCATCGACGCATGACTCTCGGAATCCTAATACTAATCATTTTAAGCACAAATTCTAGTTAAATGATTTATTATTTTTAAATTAGTTTTTAAATTATACTTATTTAATTTTTATACACTATTTTAAAATATAAAAATTATAATATTGTGTCCAACCCGTATCCGTGACCTAGATTTTCAATAATTGACGTGTCCCGTGTCAGTGTCGTGTCGTATCCGTGTCGCCGTGTCTGTGTCTGTGCACCATAGGTGTCCACGGTCAGTGAGACTTTGGCCTACATGATCTTCGGCACCCTAAAAGCCATTGCTCCATAACTCTGTTTTTGCATGTCTCCCTCTGCTTAAATCTCTCACTATCCTTCTCTGGCTAGCTCTCATGTCACCACTAGCTCTACCCCTCAATCTTCCATTTAGACTCCAAGTCCTCTCTGGTGAAATTAAACCTATAACACATTTTCTCCTATAATCGCATATCTTTTGACAGCCTCAGCACCATCACGCTTACTCCCGTCAGACAACACCTGCCATTTGGCATCTTCAATAGACCTGTGCTATGAAACTGTTAGACCGGTCCACGCGGGACCGGCCCAGGCACGAACGAGGCGGACGCCTCCACCTTCTGCTTCAGCCGCATGCGCCGCAGGAGCTTTTTAGGAAGGATTTTTTAGGGATTTGAGAGGAAAATTTGAATGTAGGGACTGTTTAGGGATTTCCTTTTGATTTGTATGCATTAAAGACTATGTTTTCCTAGGGTTATGGCATCTTGAATTTGGTTGAAATTTGAGATCTATTAGATTTTAAGTTTCCTTTGGGCTCTAGCTGTGTCTAGAGATTTGGGAGAGATCCATTCTCCTCTCGAATAGAGGATCAATTGCATCTTGGTATTTTCCGTTACACTTTCATCAAGTATTACAAATTATTAACTGTTTTCATGTTTTTGTGCGGATTTTTGTGAAAAAATTTCGCTGTTTTTAGGAGATTGATAGGAAATACTTGCGATCTATAAATGTTTCCAATCAGAAACTCTCTCATGTGTAAATGCAAGAAAAACAGTGGTTCCTGCCTAGTGTCCCATCTTCATTTGTCAGCACATCCGCAGTAGTTGGCATAACAAAATTCCTATTCCAAGAAATTTAAGAACAAAGATATAAGCACTAGAAAGTGCCTCGTTTCTGACCTTCAAAATGTAACTAGGGAGATCACCATTGCACCACTGGACAGCTTCATCATAAGATAAAACAGAGGCAAAAACCTGCATTTTTTTTTCACAATTACAGAAAATAACTACATGGGCAAAAATAGAAGCAAAAGAGCACCAAAAAAACTAAATAAATACCTTTCCACCAATACTGATTAATGAATTTGCTTCTTGTTCTAGCTCTTTCTGTTTGATCTGTAGTTGATCCAGGGGGATTACCCCAATATATTCAACAAATGGCCTGCAAACATATGCAAGTAAGTGCTCATCACGAGCTATAAAATCAGACTCAAGATCCACCACACAATTCACATAAGGAACCATTTGTATTTAACAAAAAAAAAAAAGTTATAGAAGAAGCCCACTCAGAAATAAACTTCCTGAAATAGTAGCTAGAAGATTTTATTCAGGCTTGCACATATTTTGGTCAGTTAAATGTGTTGCATGTGTTAGAAGCTTAAAGGCTAGATGACTAAGCTTATATGAGGTAATTCTGCTTCTTATGACTATAGCATATAAATGTTTTAAAGTACAATGAATAACTTTCTGATCCAGAAGACTCTCAATAAACTAAAGAATTCATGAGGCACCATACACTTTTGGACGGCCAAACATTGTCAAATCACTTCCTGGAGCTGGCTACTTCAGAGCAACACCAGTGTTACCATTGCTCCGCTGAAGGCCCAACGAGGGGTACCAGCTAAAGAAGGATGAAGTGGAATTGCTTTAGCAAGAATTTGGCTTCCCTTGTGAACGGCTTTGTGGTGCTCCACCTTTCAGCTCCTCTTTGTACACTACCTCAAAGTTTTTGCTACCTTCATCTCCAATAGGAGAGGTTGACAGGACTGTCCGGAGCACCTACAACAGCCCCATCAACCTCATTGCATTGCCATCACGAAATATACTAGCAACAGTATGATTTTAAAAATTCCGTAGTAACATCTTCAAGTCTAGGGAAGGGTAGCATTTCACTCCTACCATTTGTGAAAACTATTTCAACTAGGCTAGCACCCTTGCAGGGGCGAAACCAGCCTTAATTTTTCAGGGGGGCAAACTTTATAAGTAAAAGTATAAATATTTTTTTAATATATATATATATATGGGGAGGGGGTTGGCGGCAATTGCGTAAAGATTACTATAATAAAGAGTAAAAAAAAGACCCCCCCCGGGGCACTTAATGGTTCCGCCCACGCACCCCTGGCTTTTCCCTTTCTTGATTTTCCACAAATTCTCATGCCTCATATTTTCTTTATTTACTTATATGATAGTGCATGAGTTGTCATCCGTGGCTAAGACAATCAAGAGCTCTTTTTCTACCAACTAAATGTATAGCACTAAAAAATCTATACTATTGTTTAATAAATTAATTAAGTATTCATCTTATGCCAGTTTCTCATAACTTAATACTAATAAAATATTAATCTTAATTAACTATAATTCACTAAATAGTAAATAGATCAACTACTTAACTGGAATTTAACTAATTAATCAATTAATTTATTATCCTAGAGTTTTTCTGTTTTAACTGAAATTTCTAAAAAAAAATTAGTGGTCTTAATTAAAACCCCAATAAATTTCTAATACTCTTAATATATAGATATTGACAATTGTTAATTAATTAATTAATTAATTCAAGCTTAATTACCATAATTAAATACCGGTAAGATATTAATGACCTTAGGTAAATTCTGATTAACCTTAATTATCCTAGTTAATATCCTATTAGTCTAATTAGTCAAATTATGGAAATGGTCATTGGGCATATTTTACAAAACATATAAAAACACCTTACATGCATTTTTATAATTTCAAGAAACAAGAAATGAGAATAAGTAATCTAACATGTTTTCACTATTTAACAATTTTTTAAAACAGAAAACAAAGAATAAAGAAACAAAAATGTATCCAAACATTCCCTTAGGATTGTATAAAAATAACAAAATCCTAATATGTTAAAAACTATCTCTAACTAATCAATGTACACGGATTCATAATAGCAATTATGCTACGCATATTTAAAAGCGATCAATGTGATATACAAAATTGAAGGTAATAAAATAGCATTTTTAAATTAGAGAAATCGGTGATCGGAGATATATTTCCAAGAAAATATCAAAAATTACAGAGCGTACAACTAAAGAACACAACTGGGAATAGCCAGGTCTTGAGTTATTGTCTGAAGGATGATATTAGAATAAGGAACATAAAATAATTCTTATCAAGACCAAGTTCCTTCTACTTGTGACATTCAAATGAGAAATATGGATTTATTATAAATATAGAATCATATCTATTTAGGACAGCTGGCAACTATAATTTCTCTTCAATCATGACAATGAACATGATTTAGCCACATTGTATTACCAGACCTACTTGACACTTGGAAAGCCCTACTATAAAGTGCTACCAAAGTACAAATGAATAAATTCAATGAAAATATGTGAATTCTGTCACAATGAGTTAGAATATAAGCTGATTCATGAATAGCAGAGCTTAAGCTTATAGAGCTTGTTTGGGGTGAGTGCAAAAATTGGGACTGCTATCACATCACCAGCATTCCGAATTGCGACCACTTTGAGCATGGCAGCTTTTTTCCATCAGACAAGCTAGAAAGCAGCCCAAGAGCAGTATCCCAAATCGGATTTGCACGAAATATATAATGGGCACTACAGCACTGGACGCCAGCTGCCAAAACAAATGCACGCTTAGAGCAGCTACCCTTATTTAATATTGTATTAGAGAAAAGTCTCTAGCTCAAGTTTTAATATCCTCAAATATTTTCCATCATAAGGTGTAAATGACCCTACAAAAATTTTGTCCCAGCACAACATTTTGTTTAGTTCATGATTACAAAGACAAATAAGTTCGAACATATGGGTAATATTAGAACGCAATAATAATTCTTAGGCCGCTTTTCTTAACTATTTAAAGCTTAATCTTTTGGGTTTGTTAGTCATCATGCTTTGAAAATGTTGATAAAAAAAAAGATTGTAACATTAAAGAAGAATAAAAGATTGACTACAAAATGAGTTGTCATCAGATGACAATAAAATAGATTGCTGAAATGATTCAATCCAGGATGGCTTCTCCATTTCCAGTAAAACAAACAAACGTGAAGATTTTGAAATGCTACAGCTGTAATCAATCGCATGGATGACACACAACCTGCTGAGTAAGCTAAAGAATGTTACCAACTCCTCTGGTTTGGATAAATTTTAAATCACTTTCCTTATTTCCATAAGAAAGTCTTGTATACTAACTGCCTTTATTCTAATAATATTCCTCAACTTTATGGAAAGCTTTTCCGCAGCTACTAGACTACTAAAAGCATTATAAGTAAAATTTTAATTTCAAGGCAACAAAAATCAACATTTACGAAATGAAGTCAATCACATTCGAGTTTCAAGACAAGTCAGTTGAGGACAAACATAGCAATAAAACTCTCTTTGGGAGAATTAATACATAGAAAACTAACATGAATTAAAAGTTAACTTGTAGTTTAACAAAAATATTCTAAAGAAGATTTACGACTTTGCTTAAGGTTGCGCTAGATGAAAGATACTAAAGGTTTAAAAATCAGTATCCACACTGCAGTAAAAAGAAGAATCAACGCGATTAGTATCTAATACTAGTTAGTAAGAAAAGGAGTAAACTACGGAGAAAAAAAACAAAAAAAAAACAATCATACCCGTCAGGGAAATGATAACCTTTTCCAGGTTTTAAATGAGATAACCCCACATTGCGCACACAAATATCCAATAAATGCCCCGCAGAATGAATCCTGCAACATAGGGAATAACAAGGCCAATGAAATCATAATTTGTTCATTGATTCAAATGTACAATAAATAAAATAAAAAATAAATTGAAATTTAATTGAGTGGAAGAAAACTAGTTGTACGACAGCATTATATTACATTTAACATAAAACAACCTCACAAAGAATTAACCTCATTTCTCTACATGAAACTAACTATTCTTGGGAATAATCTCAGAAAATCTGGTGCCTCTGAGCATAACTTATACGCATAAAAGCTGCATACAAGACATTAAATGGTGCAAAAAAAGGAAAAGATGCTAGAGCGGCAAAAGACAATTTTAAGTCTGACATTCTGCAACAGTGATTCAGTACCTTCAAGCAGCATGAGATAAACAGGTTTGAGGAAAACTATAATGATGAACTAATATTACCAAAGACAACGTCCTAATCAAGGAAATGAAAGTCATTGACTGCCTGGTTAGGTTGGGAAAAACCCTTCTAAAATGTTGCAAACAAGAAAACAAAATCATAATCAACATCGACATGTACAATTCTTTTTTTTTTTTGTAGCAAGTGTTCGAAACTTGGACCTTGACTTAAAGACTGAAGTCAATGACATGAAACCAAGTGTTGGGTGGTACATATACCAACCATTGCACATGAAACTTTCTGTAAAAAAAGTTTTTTTTTTCCCTAAGATCACAAAAAATAATTTTAGTTCCTTCAGAAAGATATTGTGTCGACCGACAATCAAAGAACAATATTCTTAATCAAACAAGATATGATGGAGTTTTTTAAATACTAAAAAAGTTTGGTCCATCATGATCCTTCAGAAAATGTGCTAATTAAAAAAATGGAAAAAAATTAACAATATAGAGAGTGGTTATACTACAATAACAAGGTAATTTCATATTTTTTAAAGCCGAAACAATTTCTGCTGTATATAATCATCCGATTTTCATTGATGACATAGAAATGGATACTTAGTGGACCAGTGGTTCATAGATGCGAAGCAGAAGTTACTGAATTTTGAAGGAACTTTAATTAAAATGGTTACAACCCAAAGAGAGAGAGAGAGAAGAGAGGAGCTAAGTAACCATTCTTTAATTTTAATAATTTTTTTTTCCATAAAATCTTAAAAGCACTCTTTATATAGGAAAGGTTTTTCAATGCATACTTAAAATATTCACTGCTAATAAATGAAAGCTATAATGTCCTTATTACAAATTTAAATTATGAAATAACAAATATGAACTCAAAAGCAATTTTGGCATGGACTCATGGTGCTGATCTGCGTTGAGAATTCTCAACAAGGATTATGATTGTCCTGCATCATAACTTCTTGGAACATTTAACTTTGCATAGTTTACTCGGGGCAGCAAAGAATTGATAGGAAATAGATGCACCTTTCACAAAATCAGCAGATGAAACACAAAAATTGGGAAGTACACCTAAAAAATATTTTTTATTGAAAGAACTATGAAGAGAAATGTAAAAAACAGTTGGATCTTCAATTTGAGAGGAAGATCTGGCTCTCCCAAACCCTAGCCGCCCACTAGAGTCCCTCTGTCTCCTTAGGAAAACAAAACTCAGCAAAACATTAGATAATCTCAAACCTAGGAAACAATCCTATAAAACATACAATAATTCCCCCCCAATTCCAAACAGGCCCTTCTTTTGAAATTTCCATCATAAAACCTCTTTAATTTCTCTTTAACGTGGCTGCTGGACCCCACCCCTAAAGGGGGCGGCATTAGTTGGGCGGAACATTTATTCTGCATCTAGTAAACCAAGCCCGGTCCAGGGACCGGTCTAACATAATCCGTATAAGCCAATTGAAACTATGATCATATTTACTCAAGTTTTTTAGAACAATCTCAATGAAACCATTTAATGAATCAATGCAATCTCAATTTGATCCACATTGAAAAGCAATTCAATCCAAGATTACAAAAAAAAACTATTTTTTGTATTCAAGTATGCAAACATGCAATACATAACCCATAAATACAAATACATACATTTTGACTCAATCCTGAGCTAATTCGATATGACTTAAACCCGGATCAATCCAAAATCAAGCCAAGTTTCCGCATTAGCTTATTTTTGTGATTCAAGACTAATATATAGCAAAAAGTACATCCAATTTTTGAACGACCTTGAATATTTCTATCAAATTCCAGGCAATAGACTACCATAGCATAAGTAGTTTTCTTGCAATAAAGTATGCATCTAGTTTGATTAATGGCTGATAAGAAGTGGTCCAGGTATTCTGCAAAGTATTTTCAAGCATTCTACAGAAAGGATAATCAGGCTGAGGGTTTCCATAAGAATGACAGGATGGTGGACAAAAAAGTGGAACAAAAAAAATGTATAAACCTAAGTCTCCCAGGATTTAAGCACAAAATAAGCCCGAAAATATTCTCACTGCTCTAAAAAAGAATACCTTGAATTGAGAGCACGTCGTTGTGCATCAACTTGTAAGGTGACTTCCTGTCTCTCTTTTAGGTTGGGTTCATAGTCATCTTGAGAATTATCAATGTATCCAAAATGAAAAACCTGATAAATTATGCATCACACTTAATGTGGAAATAGAACATAAAATAAAAAGTACAAAATTATAAAGATCGAGTGTTAACACGACTGAATTGTACATTGACTATAAAACATGCTTGTTTGTTAGCTCCTTGTTTACACAACAGGAATGCTTCCAAAGCCTAATAAGCCTGCCGTTGTCCAGCCATTTTCAATCATTAACCATGCAAAGCAAGATCATATCACACTAAAATGTTCATATAGCACTAAACATATACCTGAGATAAAACAAATATAGAAAACTGTAACTCGTGCCCAATAACATGTTTAATGTCAAATGTGTTCATAAGTAACTTAAATGTCTCTTGTTTATATGTTTTATTCTCTGTTTTTTTTTTTTTTTTTGAGAACATATGTTTAATTCTATTTGGCTCAAAGAAATGCTAAGAAAAATGATGCAAGTAAAACGGCTAAAATTATTAAATTTTGCAACTCTTTTCCTCCAACGAAATCATATACAAGTGAACTCTCAATATAAATGATTGTGACTGCAACTCTTGAATCTAATGATTACCTCAAAGCATGGTTTAAAATTGCACAATATGAGGCACGCCTTGAGGCCTGCCTTTGCGCAATTCCAGTGAAAATCGCCTTGAGGCTTACGCCTCAAGTTTTTTTTATGAGGCTTGCGCCTCAACTTGGTTGAGGCTCTCCTTAAGGCGCGCCTAGCCTCACTGGCATGAGGCTTACGCCTCACCCGATATATATTAAAACTTACATAAATCCCAAAGTAAAGTCGCGAACAAATCACACTTCATGTATCCCCTAGTCGCAACAACTTCCTCTCAACTTCCTTAACCTCTAACCCGTCGCCATTTTTTAACATATTATTTCAGTATTATATAAAAAATTACTTTTAACATTTATTTGCACTTAACATAATTTTTTTATTATGAGGCTCACGCCTCAAAATGCCTTGAGGCTTACACCTCGCCTTACAAACAAAAAATGCCTCAATATCTAATTGCGCATTTTTAAACATGGTGATGACAGTGCTGATGACTTATGAGTTCTTATGTGATATGTCATTGCTATTTATTTTTGGAATTATATGTTAATGAAAAGAATGCTGTGATTTGGGAAAGATGAAGTTTGAGTTGAAGTGTTGAACTATATTTCATGTTGTCTTATTATTGGGATATTTTGATTTCACTTCATATCTTGTGCATTTTTATGTTTTATATATTATTTACTCATTAGTATATACAAAATTTATCATTTTATGTTTACGCAATATTTTGATTTTGAGGCTTACGCCTCAAAACGCCTTGAGGCTTATGCCTCGTCTCACGAGCAAAAAACGCCTTAATACCCGATTACACAATTTTTAACATTGCCTCAAAGAACATAAATTACTGTAGTTGTAGAAAGGACAAGGGCGGTTTCTAAAGTAAAGCCGCGAACAAATCACACTTCGTGTACCCCCTAGTCGCAGCAACTTCCTCTCAACTTCCTTAACCACTAATCCGTTGTCATTTTTTTGAGTATTATATAAAATTTTACTTTTAACATTTATTTGCACTTAACATAATTTTTTTATTATGAGGCTCACGCCTCAAAATGCCTTGAGGCTTAACCTCGCCTTACAAACAAAAAATGTCTCAATATCTAATTGCGCATTTTTAAACATGGTGATGACAGTGCTGATGACTTACGAGTTCTTATGTGATATGTCATTGCTATTTATTTTTGGAATTATCTGTTAATGAAAAAAATACTGTGATTTGGGAAAGATGGAGTTTGAGTTGAAGTGTTGAACTATATTTCATATTGTCTTATTATTGGGATATTTTGATTTCACTTCATATCTGGTGCATTTTTATGTTTTATATATTATTTACTCATTAGTATATACAAAATTTATCATTTTATGTTTACGCAATTTCGTAGGCCTCAAAAACGCATTGAGGCTTACGCCTCGCCTCACGAACGAAAAACGCCTCAATACCCGATTACACAATTTTAAACATTGCCTTAAAGAACATAAATTACTGTAGTTGTAGAAAGGACAAGGGCGGTTTCTAAAGTAAAGCCGCAAACAAATCACACTTCGTGTACCCCCTAGTCGCAGCAACTTCCTCTCAACTTCCTTAACCTCTAACCCGTCGCCATTTTTTAACATATTATTTGAATATTATATAAAAATTTACTTTTAATATTTATTTGCACTTAACATAATTTTTTTATTATGAGGCTCACGCCTCAAAATGCCTTGAGACTTACACCTCGCCTTACAAACAAAAAATGCCTCAATATCTAATTGCGCATTTTTAAACATGGTGATGACAGTGTTGATGACTTATGAGTTCTTATGTGATATGTCATTGCTATTTATTTTTGGAATTATATGTTAATGAAAAGAATACTGTGATTTGGGAAAGATGGAGTTTGAGTTGAAGTGTTGAACTATATTTCATGTTGTCTTATTATTGGGATATTTTGATTTCACTTCATATCTTGTGCATTTTTATGTTTTATATATTATTTACTCATTAGTATATACAAAATTTATCATTTTATGTTTACACAATTTTTTGATTTTGAGGCTTACGCCCCAAAATGCCTTGAGGCTTACGCCTCACCTCACGAACGAAAAACGCCTCAATACCCGATTATGCAATTTTAAACATTGCCTCAAAGAACATAAATTACTGTAGTTGTAGAAAGGACAAGGGCGGTTTCTAATAGGCGGTTGGTGGTTTCCATTTTACCAAAGCCGATATGTAGGGTTACTTGCGTGTGGCAAGGGGCAATTGAGCTGCTCCTTGCTTGATTCTTCCAGAACAAAGAGCAGCACTCAGTTCTTTTGGGAGAAATAAGAGTGAGGCGAGGTTGCTGTCTTCTTCCCCCAAAATCAAGGGGTACAGTTGATGATTGTTTCACTTATTCCGAACCAAGGGAAAAGGTGTAGGACAGCTGTTGCTTCGATTCCAAGAGCTGATGGAAACTTTAGATCGCATGCTCCAGCCTTCCAAACACAGGAAAAAAAAGAGAACAACAGTACTTGTTGCTTAAGACCAAAGTACATCAACTCCGGCAAGGTGTTGGTGGAGGCCATTTCCCGAATAGCAGATATTTATCTTGTTTCAGTTGCCTTTGTCTCTTCAAGATAAAGGTGTTACAGCCGGTAACCATCGGACGTTGAATCCGGTTAGGTTAAACTCCCAAACTTACAAAACCTAGGCCTTCCGGCCTTTGTGAATGTATTTGTGACGCTCCTGCATATTTTAGGTCCCTAGAAGCTTCATCTTATGCTCTCTGAAGCCTTACATACCGGCTGTCCTCTTAGCGAAACAATCAGAAATCCGGTGATTTCCAACAATTTGCTCTCATTTGAGAGCCCAAACAAGGAGGCGATAAAGTGTGGGGTCATTGGATTCATGTCCAATGCCGTCTACTTTGCATGAAAAACACTCATATTGAACTAATCCCTTTGTCTACAAATGCAACCTTAGGTTTCTGTAGCCATCGGTCCCAAATCCAATGGCTATACGTTTGGCCAAATCAATTGCATGACACTTAGGATTTAGATTGCATTAAATCAATCTAAAAAATGTTGTATGCCTCTTTGTACTAGGATTTGCGTCATTTTCCTAAAATTTTGGAAGATAACTAAATTGGATCATTTAATTCTGAAATAATTTTGAGACATGTTATGAGCTCTCAAGGCCCATAAATTAAATTTCCTCTTGTTTCAGAACTGTTTAATTCTATCTATGTAGCTTTCAAATTAAATGGTTAAGTGAGATAATTAAAATCCCTAAGAGATAGTAAATACTTCTATGTGTTGTTAATGAATCAAATCATGAAATAATTGATCTAAGATCCCCTCACAGTTGTAGGAATGACCACTCTATTTCAAATGAATCCAACTCATTCTAAAAGAATAAATAAGAACTTTCTTTGAGGAACCTTTCTCCCTCATGTATGATGCTTTGGAACCTCTCAAGGCTTTATATACCTCATTTCATGAACTCTAGGATTCCCTAGGAGCTACCCTCATCCTTAGATAAATCCCAAGATTGCCTTGAGTCAGGTTGAACAAAACTCAACTTGACTTGACTTATCATTTAACGCCTTGCTTGGTGTTTCTTTGAGCTTGCATAGAAGTTTCCAAATGATCTCAAAAGAATTCAAGAGAACACCAATAACTCTTAGGAACAAAACCTAAGTCCCATTAACGCATCTATTGAGCCAAAATTAACACATGTCCTCCCAGTCGTAGGACTTAAATCTTGGTCCCTTTCATTTGGTTAGCCCAAATTAAATAAATAAACATCTCTCTGATAGGAAATACTTGAGTTCGCAAGTAACCCTAAGGTAATACTTGAGTTCGCAAGCAAACCTAACCAAGATTAGTACGAAAAGAAGAGCAAAATTGCTGTTTACAGCGGAAAAACAGCAAAAACAGTGGAAATCCGAGAAGAAACTTGTAGAAAATCACCAGAACAAGTGATTTCCTCCATTCATGACAATTAAAATATAAGCCCAAGTATCCTTTATAAGCCACTTCCTCCTAAAATTCACTTTACCCATTCAGGCAAATTTCACCAAGTCCTAAGTCAAACCTTTAAGTAAATTTGTTTAATTCTATTAAGCAAATACTCTCTTATCCAAATACTAAGAAAACTTTATATAAAAACAAAACACCTAGAACACACTTAATTTTTTGTGGATGCAAAGATGTATCATTCGACCTCATAGGTTGGGTGTTTATATCTTTGGATCTTAGGATTGTTAAGATAGTTGCAATTTAATTCTTGATTGTTAATATTCTTGCAACATGTATGTTTTTTATGATTCCAAATATTATTGTTTTGATTACAATTTCTCCTAACATATTTTGGAATGTATTTTATTTTGTTGTTTGTGTGTACTAACGTTTCAGGTAAATCATATTCCGGATTGTTGAAGACTTCAAATCATGTCAGTTTATGATCTATTGTAATTGAAGTCTGTATTTT